ATATATATATATATGTATACATGTATGTATACAGGAAGTCCGATAAAAGACAAAGTTAATTGTAACAATGGTAGATTCCTGAAATTATTTTAAAATAAAAATTCTAATGCCAAAATATCGAAGCTATAATAGGTTTTGAATTATATAATCATTTAGGCTCCTGAGTAGTCATCACAACTATATTGAATCATAACGTCAGAAACGAAAAAATGACAAATTAATGATTCATTTTTATTATGTACCATTTATAAATAAAGATAATTTAAACAAAACAAAATGATGAGATTGTTTTAAAACATTTGTAAAAATGGACGAAAATTATGCTTACCCCCCTCCGACAGTCAATAAATAATCATAAAAAATGATAAAGGCATATTAAGTGCTTTTATTCAATACGCATGCGTAGCTTATTTTCACTTACACATGCCTTTTATCACTTTTCACGATTATTTACTGACTGTCAAAGAGGATAAGCATAATTCTCGTCCATTTTTATAAATGTTTTAAAGCAATCTCATTATTTTGTTTTATCCAAATTGTCTTTATTTATAAATGGCATGTAAAATTAACGTCATTTCTCGCTTCTGACGTCACGATTCAATATGGCTGACTATTTAGGAGCAAATAATATTGCCTTGCACAAAGAAAGATTCAATTTCACGAAACAGGCCGGTATTCATAATCGATTAAGGGAATGCTGGAGCGACGGCCGAATTTGATCGATGATAAAACAGATTTTTAATTCCAAATAAAATATTACATCAAAAAAATGTTACATACATTAATTAAAATATTACATATATTAAACAAAATCATTAAGTAAAATGTTACGTACATTTCTTGCTCTTTATCCTATATATCATTTGAATGTGAGATTATACACATTCAAATTGTACTTCTCAAATCATTTCTCTTGTGAACTTCATCATAGTTTGAAGGTCTCATGATACTCTTATAAATTATTCAAATACGGAAAAGTACTTTTGATTTGGATATATGCTTGCATTCATTTATAATAAAAAAGAACCAATATGATTTAAAAAAACTGTAATTTACAATTTTTTGTGAATTTTCATGCCGATTTGAACTTTTCTAAAGGTATTTATTCTAAAAGTATTTTTTCTTTTATTCTGAGAAAGGTATTTTTCATTCTGTGTAAGAAAAACGATATTATTTGAAAAATAGGAAATAACGCTCCGTTGATAACTCCAGCTTAAGATATTTAAGTTTTAAAATAAAAACGAACTATGAATACCGTTCTATGTTTAGCATTCCATAGATAATTTCCATTGGTAATTTCCTCCTACAGTCCATAGAGAGGGCAGATTTAAAAAAAGACATTAACTGCATACACTATGTTATCTCTTCCATTATAGGTAAGTGCCAACGCAAAATGCAACATTAAACACGTTGACTTTATATTCGTTAACTTTAAATGCTTATTTAATTAAAAAAAATATTATACTCTCGATATTTTGGTATTATCAAAATGATTCAGAAATTCTTTAGGCCAATGTTACATGCGTTCATTTTTTGTCGTACGATGAATTTTTCAAACGTGTTGGCTGTAAGACAGAAAGAATCACGAATCTCTTTGTCTTACAGCCAATCAACAAGTTTGAAAAATTTGTCGTACAACAAAAAACAGACGCACATAATATTATAATAATTAAGTGTTGTGTCTTTACCAGACACTGTGCGTGCGTGTGTGCGTGGATGTGCGTGCGTGCGTGCGTGCGTTTGTGTGTGTATGTATGCATACATGCATTTTTCAATAGGGACGCTCGAAATTTGTTAGATCATAGTAGCCATGTTGTTAAAGTGACATCTGTCAAATTTGTTGTGAATTGTTTAGTAGTGTATGGCAAATCATCATGTAAGGTCATAGCGTTGAGCAACGTGTGCAAATCATAAAATTTTAATATCAGTGCTCTATACGAGAAACGTTCCGCGCGTTACGTGATTTTTATCCTCACAACAACCGTCCTGCCGAGTCGATTATTCGACGTTTGGTGGCCAAATTCGAGTCAACCGATAAATAATCAGCCAACATCAGTACGTCGCCGAAACGCAAGGTTCTGCTGAAAACATCGCTGCTGTGAGAATGGGAATACGGAAAAACCCGAGGCGGTTAATTTCTCATCGTTTACAAGAACTTGGCCTGTCTGCGACTTCAACTTGACGAATTTTGCGTCGGGACTTGGCTCTGCACTCCTATAAAATTCAACTGACCCAGGAACTTAAGATAAACGACCATAGACAATGCCGTGTGTTCGCTGATTGGATTCTGGAGCAATTGGAAGTTAACTCAAATTTCGCCAAACAAATCATCTTTAGTGATGAAGCCCATTTTTGGATGAATGGATATGTGAACAAGCAAAATTATCGAATTTGGGACGATACGAATCCACGCGAGATACACCAGCTCCAAATGCATCCCGAGAAAGTCACTGTTTAGTGCGGATTTTGGTCTGGCGGAATCA